CACTGCCTTGGAGAGCGAATGCCTGCCATGCTGCTACGCTGCAGTTTGCTTTTGTACTCTGTGCAGCAAATGCGGCGCCTCAGCTTATTATCACATACAATTTTGATATCAAATTTTATCTTTACCCGCAGCAAAAAGAAGATATTGTAGAAGACATTTTTTCAGGGCAGGAAGAGGGAACATTTTGGATTTATTTAGGGAAAATGTTTGAATTATTGTTATTTTATTTAAATATAATCATTATGTGTTACTTTATCTACAGCTATTTAGGAAAATAAAATTTAAAATTTGACTTTGTTGGTCCCTGGAACAGATTGAATTTATTAGTTTCCATTATTTTTAGTAGGAAAAATCGTGTTGGAACTCAAATGATTTGGAATTTGATCGCTACTTCAGAATGTTCAAATTCAGAAGTACCACTGTGTATAATCTTGAGAAAAGGTTCAAACTCCGTCAGGCTATTATACATTACATCAACAGAGGTAACTGCATTGTAGCTGATATCAATAAGTAAATTAGCATAACACAATGACTGGAAAACTTAATGTGAAGTAGGAAAAGACAAGATGCACATGCATACAACCAAAAGTTTCAATCCGAGCTTGATGATATAAAGAGTCAGTCAGCAGCCTGTCCTATGCAAAAATTTGCTCCCATAACCTTCCAGAAAACATTTTTGATGACAAGAAAGATGTCCCGAGTCCGATACACCCATCTGGAGGTCATCTGCCACATCCTGCACTTATCTACTCTTTGGCCTTACTCCTCCTCTCTTCCCAGGCATATACCCCTCCACTACTGTTTGCTCTAAACTTTCGTGACGTTTCAAGACCAAAATATTTCAATGTTCTGAGTTTAATCATCTTTAATAGCCACATAAACAGGCTTGGCAGAAATGCCCAGACCAAATTTTTGTACTAAGAAGGAAAAACTGTAAAACTGACAGCACGCCTACATCGAATGGGTCTTGCTAACTCTGCTGCATGTGCTTATGGCTCACCAGAGCAAGTCTTCCCAGGGCTGCTCAGACTCTGCCAAACAGAGAGAAGAAAATGTGTCCCACAGGAGCCTTCCTTTAAGAGGAATTATGGGGCACTAACGAAAAAATCAAGTGCACCGTTCTGTTTGAGACTTCACATAGGAACAAACACACAGCAAACACCCATTGCTGAACAAGAAGAGGAACCATTCTCCCCTACTCATCCCACAAAGTAAGTTGTGTATTCTTTAGAGGACATAGCTGAACCAACCCCAGCATGTTTTGGCTGTAGCGGTATTTCTAGGCACATTTTACGTTCAGTAGTTTACTACTGCTTTCTGGACCGTCAGCTCTCAGTACCACTGTCGAAACCAACGCAAGACAAATCGTCAGCAGCTGGGAGTCGAACCCGGTACCCCGGCACTATTAAGCGCGTTCGCTACACCTAAGCCATCGACGCTGACTCCCCCACCCAACATGCTAGTCCAAAAAATGTGACTAATTAGCGATTTCCCCTCAAAATCAGAGTACATCTGCCTAAGAGGTGAGGAACCAACAGTCTGCATACACAGAGGCTAGATTTGTAAAATGGTTGTGCACACAAAACTCAAGATTTAAAACAGAAGTAGACAAACAACCAGTAACTTTCCCCTGGAGTTCACAGCCGGTGAACATTAAGTAGTAGAGTCAAATTAATTTGCTAAATGTGCTGAAGTAAAAGTAAAGAAATCCTCAGCACTGGAAAGTATTTGATTAATTAAAAAAATTCAGGGTGATATTTGAAAATCTTCATCTCAACTGGTGAATCAAAACCGTTGATGTCAACATTTAGGAGCCAATAGGCTAAGTCATAAAGCTTCCACATACAAACCGCCCAACAAAGGACTATAGGTTACTTCGTATCTGTTCTATGGTTCCCCAAAAATTACTGTGCTATATGGTTTTACTAATATTAAACTTAAAATTTTTAAATTTAAAAAATAATCAGTACTTTTGTATACAGCAGAAACATCGAGAACAACAAAGGCAATTACTAATAAACTGCTAACATTCATTAACTGTCTGTGCAGAATAGAGGGAATTAAATAGTATGATAGAATCACTAAAGTACAGTTTTGGGAGAGAACTAAACTAGTTCCTGAGAGCAATATAACTAGAATGTCTTTGCACAGGAACCCACAGGGGCATAGGAATAAAGGAGGACCCAAAATTACCCACAGAAAGGAGATAAAGAGTGAGGTTAAAAAGATTGGGAGGACACAGGGAGAGCTGCAGAGAAGGATAGAATGATGTGGCGTGAGTTGGTTGACGGCCTATGCTCCATTGGAGGTTAGAAAGGCAGAAGAAGACGATACAGCAATACAGCTAAACGGGATAATTAGGGGTTAGTTGAAACTGGTTTTGTTGGGACGAAAATCTCAGCCATGCTGTAAACCATAAGACATTGTGCCAATTGCCCTTTTAAGGATAAAAGCAACAGAAGAAGCCCTTGAGCTGAATATGAAGTTTTTGAATTATTCCACTTCTGTCTGTTTAGTACTAGTCTCTTTATTTCGATACATATCCAAATTTATGAATTTGTGATTGTATCCCCCAAAAAAGGGAAACTGATGCTATACTACTATGTACGTGCAACATACATGCAACCTTTACAGTTGAAAAAGCAGCTTAAAGTTGCCACACCAAGCTAAATGCTATTATTCTGCCACTTAAAAAAATAACAACAAAATGTACAATGTAAACAAACCATCTGTCATGCTTAGGACAGTGCTTAAAGGTAGCAACATAAACAAATAAGAACTTAATTTTCATCAATCTTGGGAATGCAGAAAATTGTTCCACCATGTATGACAGTGCAACTTTCAAAAATATTCCACATGCACTTGGAAAATATGACAGTAATTTTTCTCTTTTTTATTTTTCTTCATTCTTTTCCTTAACCCTTTCACCTCGAGAAGCACGAAAACCGGCACTTCCCGTATGTGTTACGCCCCTGAAAATGCCGCATAAACAAGTGTCTTGCTTATGAGAATCCTCAGTAAGAGCACTGATTTCATTTGTATACAAGCAAATGTTTAATAGATCCACCAATAGGTATATTTACTAAAAATAGAATTTGTGTGTGCTTTCTTGTAATAAACTGACTTTTTTATAAATAAAAATAACAACTTCATGATTTCCCATTAGTCAGCGGTCTTAAACAGCCTGGCCATGGGGTAAAAATGTTAGTTACAGTATTAAAATTATTCAACTTCAGGAAGGTGTAACCCAGTTGACCTCAGCTGCATTAATTTTTAACTGACTATCTCATTTCATCAGTGCGTAATTTTTGTTTATGTACGAGAAATTTAAACTTGGAGCACAACTAAAAGAGATGAAGCCTTATTACAGGTTTTCGAAAACAGAGTCTTACGACGAATCTTTGGACCCAGCAAAGATGCAAACAGCAGTGAATGGAGAGTGAGAAGCAACAATGAAATTCATAATCTGTTTAAATCACCATTGATCATGACAGCTCATAGACTGAAATGGTTGGGGCATATTGAAGGAATGTCAGATGACAGAGAAGTAAAAACTGTTTACACGAGGGAAATTATTGGTCGTAGATCACGAGGCAGACCAAGAAGACGATGGAGAGATAATATCCAGACAGACCTGCAAACACTTGGTGTCACCAACTTGAAAGAGAAAGCCAACCAGAGAGATAAGTGGGGGCCGGGGGATATCTGCAGCAATGAACCTCAAGGGCTTGGAATGCTGAAGAGGTCTGAAAATGTAACTGTTATGAATTTTTGTTCGAAGTGTGTCAAATATTTTTTTTAAAGAAGCATTTTTTTAAAAGAAAAACCTGAAATTCCCAAATTATGGGAACTTGACACTGTTGTTTTTCTACGTCACTGGGATGAAAGGATTAAAGCACATATTTTAATTTCAGTTTCATGCAAATAATGTTAACAAATGCTGAGATCACACTCTCTTCTCTCTGTAACGTTCTTTCTCTCACACATAAATTTATTATTTAATGACCCTTGCGGGTGCCAGCCAAAAATAGTAGCAAAACATCATTTCCTTTGGCTATGAAAGCATCATTTGGATACCGTATTTTTAATCACGAAGACATCTTTTTTAAAATAACTCGGATAAAGTGAATTTTTACATGGAGACAATGTTTTTTAAATGACTACATGTATACACATTTTTGAATCATCATATAAAGGTTTTTTTAAATCAACATATAAAATGTTGTTTAGTTAAAACATGGATAAATAAGTTTATTTTTAATCATAACATGGACAAGGTGGTTTTCTTTATCATGACATGGATAATTTAAAGCATCAAACAACATTTTGTAATTAACATATGGATAAGATGTTTTTCAAAAACTGCAACCAACTGGCACACAAGGGTAAATATGATCAGTATTAGGTCTTTTGGGTGACCCTGGCCATACCATCCTCATGCGGGTTTCAGCGGCCCATTGTGGGGAAAAAAGAATAGACCCACTGCCTCCCAACAAGCATGCTATAGAGTTGACTAATTAGGGATGTTTCTTTCTAATCAAATTGCATCCGCCTGAGAGGCGAGGAACCAACAGTCTGCATACAAATAAGCCAGATCTTTAAAATGGATGTGCATGCAAAATTCAAGTTTTGAAACAGGACCAAAAGTGTACGAAAAACTATAACTTTCTACCAGAGTTACAGCCGGTAAATATAAAGAAGAAGAGACCATGTCACTACCAATGACCTGTATGTAGCAAGGCAAACCTCAGCACTGTGCTGGCTGGGGGAGGGGCAACAAACTCAACAGCTATCTGTGGGGGGATGGAATTTCAGTCAGGTGAGCACTGTAAACCTCTACCACAGTAAAATTTAATCAATGAAAAATGATGTTTTGAAAGCTTAGTGTCTGAACATATTAACTAGAGATAATTAAGTTCTTAAAACATATATAGCATTCAATGGTTCTACAGAAGCCAAACATCAATAGCAAAAATATTACAAGAACTATAATACATTTCCTAATTCGTGGCTATATCTCCACCGATGGAAGATGTTTCCACTGAGGTGCTTTCCACTTTAATAAACGTACCCATGAGATTCTGTATTTCCTCCAGTAGAGGCTCACAAAGTTTCTGGTAGCCCAGGTCTACAGTCAGGTTGAGAAAGTCGTACAGGACATCCCGCCTAATGATGTCATCCGCAGACATAAACTCTTTGTCATCGATCTTCAGGAATGTGGTCAGCGGAATGTCTTGTAACTCCTCGGCCAGGCGTTTGTTGATGGCAGCATGTTTCTCCCGAAGTGGATTAGGTTTTTCCCCTCTAGGCAAGAGTCCCTGTTAGAAATGTGGGTAATATTCACCACTGCTCTTATAAAATCCATATTAGAGGGTACAGTTGAAGACAAGATACAGACAGTGATAAAATTAGGGAGGAGAGCGGAGATAACGCCAAATGACGAATAAACAGTTGGCAGCACAGTATATGAAAAAGCTGCAAACCCATACAGGCAAGATGGCTTTTCTCTCAGATTCACTGTCAGCCATACAGACTCTAGGGTCCAAAACCACTGACAGCAAATGGCATAGTCTAACAAAGGAACTTGCTACATTGTCAAAAAAGGCAGAAACTCGCTTGCATTGGATTCCATCTCACTGCGGCATCAAAGGCAATGAAAGCGCTGATGCTTTAGCCAAGGAAGGCAGCAGCACACCACTAATCTACCAGCCACTGTCTTTTCCTGGAGTCCAAACCCCCATTAAGAGAAAACGAGAAACAGATTGCAAAACTAACACAGGTGAAAAACATAAAAAATATTTCCTCTCAAACACCTGAACAGAAAAAACAAAGTCACAGTTTTTCGCTTACGCACTGGACACTGCAGACTCAACAAACACATATAATTTAGATATGAGCCAAACAGCTCTCTGCTAGTATCTCTGAAGACTGTTCTCTCTTGGTGGAGCTGTGAAACAACATGTGGTCACAGCCAGTAGACCTAAAAACTAACCTTTGGGGAAACTTAAGTGACCTTGAGATGACATCCCAGTTTATGACCCACAGTGAATTAAGTGCATGACCAGGGATCACTGAAGTAGAGTGAACAATAGTTTCAGAGCGTACACCCAGCGCAAGAGACATGGCAGTAAGAGATCCAAAGCAGCCAGCCTTCACTGTGGACTGCATATGATACGACCAACATTCACTGGACTACAAGTTATTTTGTAACTGGTATAAAGCTAAAGGGTTGAACAGGGTTTTTAGGATTAGTTCTGATCCTTTAGACATTAATCCTGTAGACTGCAATCCTGGGCGGGAAAAGCTTAAAACAAAAATTACTGACTGATTTACTTATTACTTGGGTCTGGGAGGGGGGGGGGGCTGCGTGGTCTCGAGGCATGGTGTCCGCCTCGAGTGCTAGAGGTTCTGAGTTTAATCCCCGGTAAGGGCTGGGATTTTGTCACATGGGCATGGACTTCTAGTAATTCCCCTGGTCTCTGGGTGGTGAGACTGGACGCCTGAGTGCATTGTTGTGCGTGTAAAAAAATCTCATGGCAGTTGAAAATCAAAAAGAGTAGCCAAACGGCGCCCCCCCCTAGGCAAAAATTTGGAGTTTAAAATCTACCCAAAGTATTTCAGGATCCTCGCCGGTGCTATAGAGCCTGTGCACTGTGCTGAGCTTCTTCAGACTCAGACTAGAGTTAGAAGAAGAACGGAGAACTTAACCGGTTACTACCCCTGTGCCAGGATGTTGATCCATTGTTTAAACTTCAAACCTTAATACTGGGTTGTATAAAGAAATATATAAGTCAAAGAGAAAACAATCCCTGGGCCAGGAAACTGACAAGATAAAGTGAAAAGGTTTTAGAGATAACTCTTCACATGTGGGTTCTGGGGCCCCACTGTGTGGGGATAAAAGAACAAACCCACTGCGCCCTGACAAGCTTGTAGGAAAAGTTTACCCATAAGGGGTGTTTCCTTCAAAGAGGGAGTGCAAATTTGCCTTGACAGGAAATCAACACTATGACCACTAGACTTGCAAGCAAATGCGTGGTCAAATTGAATAAAGATGTAAACATAATACATTCTGACTAGGTTTCACAGAAGATGGGAAAAAAAGGGGGTTGGGGTGTGTAGGCGGGTGTGTGGGGGGAAAAGGGAAGGGGGTGTCCCATATAGCTTTTAATTTTTCCTCCTGTTTGTCATATAGTTGCAAAAAATTTGCAGGACCTTTAACAATCTCTAGCTGTTTGTAGTTTCACTAGGCAGTTTTATGTTCACTAGACTAAGTACTGGAGTCTGGTAGACAGTGCTGGAAGTAGACTTAGTACTAGAGTCTGGTGGACAGTGTAAGAAGTAAACTAAGGTACTGGGGTCTGGTGGAAAGAGTTGGAAGTAGAGGTAACTGAAGTCTGGTGGACAGTGCTGGAAGTAGACTAATGTACTGGAGTCTGGTAGAGTGCTAAAAGTATACTAAGGTACTGCAGTCAGGTGAAAGTCATGGAAGTAGACTAAGGTAACTGGAGTCTGGTGGAAAGTGTCAGAAGTAGACTAAAGTACTGAAGTCTAGTGGACAGTGTTGGAAGGAGACTAAGGCACTGGTCTGGCGAAAAGTGTTGGAAGCATATTACAGCCAAACTGCACAACCAATGCACCTTTAGGCATTAAAAAAAAAAAAAATTAGCAGTATGCTTACCATAACTATGAGATTAGCTGTTGGTTGCTTCTCTCTAATGGCACGAGCTATAGCTAATATTCCTTCAGTCACTTCATCGGCAGTGTTATCATAGTTATTAGTTCCTACAAGCAAAACTACCACCTGAAACATATAAATGCAGCAAGTTGTTAGTGAATGCTGAATTGAGAATCGATATCACAGCACTCGGGACACATCCTTAAGCGCTCCATCCTCATCGTCGGCAGCATACAAAGAGTTCCCATTCTGATGGTACCAGTAACTGATTGTACATCCATCTTGCCTTTCAAGTGCTGAGCATCAGCCAGATCCTCTAGTAACTCCCCGTAGGGCCATTCTCCTCAGGCTGTAATGCTCTATTTGTGCCTCTGCACTGTTTACTCGCTCCCAAAGGGTCCTCACAACATCTAGCTTGTTAAACATCAATTCACCACTAAGTGATGCAGAACTGGACAGTCAATCTGCCTGCTCATTGTTAGTGTCTGTAAGAACAGCAAGTGAAAAGGTGAGGCAAGATAACAGAACTACCAGGGTGCCAAATAAAACATAGTGAGCCAACACAGAACTGTTGCCGTTAGCCGCCAGATGGAGATCTAGGCACAATGGTGAGGACGATCTGTCAACTAGGAGGAAGAAATTAGGCAAAAAGACATTGAATTTAACCTTTTCACCCCAGAAACCATGCTGAGAAAAATGAGAAAAGAACCCGGAAATTCCTGAAAAATGCTTAAAAAAAATACACTTTAGACAAGCCACTAAAAAAATTTAGAAACAATTTCTTTATATACATAAATATATTTTTTTGAAATAAATGAAAATAATAAACATGAATGAAACAAAAACAAAATTAAATGATTACAGTCCCATAATCTAAAATAATTTAATAATAATAATTCGTACATGGCCCCATTACTAAAGGTTATGAGAGACTTATGACTCGGATAAAAAAAAAAAGCACAGTTTAATAGATCCGCCAATAGGTATGTTTACTAAAAACAGAATTTTTTGGTGTTTTGTTGTAATAAACTGGCTTTATTATTAAAAAAAATAACGACTTCATGATCTCCAATAAGTCAGTGGTCTCAGACTAATTCCCCACCATCTCAGTATACCCTCCCTCGACCCAATTGCTTAATTCTTTTTTTCTTCGAGCAAATATAATTGTAACCTGGTCCTTTTAAAAACTGCAGATGCAAACAGAACCAATGTTGTTAATTAGGCTTCTCAGGGAATTATTGCAAGAATGCCAGTTAAGCAGTTTCTTTTGGATAAGTAATGGATGGCAATGCCAGGTTTGCAGTGTTTTGGAGTGAAAGGGTTAAGTATTTAAGTTGGCAAAAGGATATCTGGGACAGTTGGGCAAAATTACTGACATCCAAAACATACCTTTGGCTCAATTTGGTCCAATTCTCCATTCAACACCCTCCACAAAACATTTTCGGTTCTGTCACCACCAATACCAAAGTTTAGGGAGTGAAGAGGTTCAAACATCTGCTGCCATAGCTGAAAACAGGAGGAAACATATAAACATGAGAAGTTTAAAAAAGAAAACAAAAGCAAAGAGGGACCACATAATACAGGAGCAACCCAAAAAGGAAACAGTAGGAACACACAAATATTAGTGAAGTCAAAAAATATAATATAACAAAGGGGGATTACATAAATATGTTTTAAAAAGTTAGTTGTGTATCCTTAAAAGAACGTTGCAAAACCAACCCCAGCATTTTATGGCTTTTTATGATTTGACCAAGCAATGTTAAATTCTGTAGTTTGCCACTACTTTCCTGAATGGACAGCTCTTGATAACAATTTTGAAACCATGCAAGGCAGTTTGTTACCAAATAGCTCGCTGGTGAGATCAAACCCAGCACCATGAAATTATAAGGCGCGATCGCAATGCCACAGATGCCGGCATTTAATTTTAGGGCAGCCAAAATAAAATGAAAGGCTTTTTTTTAACTTTTAATAGAAATGCGCCCCCCCCCTTTCCCCCCACTTTGCAGTGTAGGTAAGGGACTCTTTTAAGCCTGAGGGTTTAGGGCTGCGTGGCTAGTGCTGTTGCCACAAACTGCACAAGGTAGCATTTTATTTTTTCCCCAGACAGAAACAAATTCCCAAACCTTTCAGAGGATTCAAACCCAGTTGTATCGCTCGAGAGCACTGTGTTCTAACCAATTATTTAGTGTCCTAATTTGCCCACAAAGAATTTTCTTGGATTGCATGCATGTCTCATGGCTAGTTTGTCACACAATCCTTTCATGCTCACACTGAAGTCATATTTTTCTGTTAGAATCATATGGTGTTAACCACATATTAATACAGTGCAGAGATGATAAGGAGAACACACCAGGAACCCAATAAATCATTCTTTGCCTTACAAATTCCTCTTACACTGATAAGAATTAAAGCAAGAAAAATTTCCAGGACAAACAAATTGTTCCTCACATCAGAGATTCACCACACTCAAGATCACCTTAAGTGGTTTGCACTGTATTCTTGTTAAAACATGAAATGGTTATGCTTCTCAGAGACAAACAGAAATAATCTAACAATAAAATCATATAACTGGCTTGGGTTTCCAACATCTATGTCACAGACACCAAGAGTAGATTTTCATTATTATGTGTCCTGCCAATATGGCTAGATGTTCGAGTCTTCACACAGATCGCAGTTTATCCTGTTGCAAATCAGTACTATCGACTGTATTCTCTCATGCTTCAGCTTTGACTGTCTTCAGTTATTTCTCTTGGTCCAGCTCTGCTTTTTCTACTACTGATCTTTCCAGTTGTGACTTCTGGTCAAATATGGCGGATAGGAAGGCAGTTTTGAAGCCTATAATTTTTTTTTTTTTTTAAATTAATATTTTGGCCAGTTTGCTAATGCAATTTTCACATTTGGACAGAAGTTGAAAGTTTTTTTTTTTTTGGGGTCTAATCAATTGAGTTAAGTGCTAAGTGCAACATGGTGAGCTGTGTGAGATTACTTTCATCTATGTCCACGGTGGTTTGTCTAATTATACTAAGAAATGTGCTTGCAGCTGATTTGCGCTTGGCCTTGCTAAGTGCCTTATGCTTTAATATTGTGAATACATAGCCGAATTGTCGTGACTGACTTGTTCCATCAAAAAGAGACTGAAATTCTGGTGGTGACTGTTGGTTTTGGTGTCTCTAGTAGCTGCCTTATGTATTTAATGTGCATGCAAGTTCTAAGTTTTTGTTGGGACCATTTGTCTGTTTACTAGTTTTTAAATGGCACAGTAAGGATCTTTTATGTGGTTTTCATTAGCACAGGAAAAAAAAAAAAGTCTGGGGTGACCTGTTTGCAGTGAAGGTGAAACCTTTATCACAACAACATCTGAGATGTTCCAATGTTTTTCAAAACCTTTCTTTCAATCCCAATGTGTGGATGGTGGCTCCACATTGTGAGGTAAAAAAGACAGACCCAATGTCCTCCTAACAAACATGTCCTAAAAGTCAAATAATTAGGGGTGCTTTTTTTTTCGAAGTTAGGTTACATCTGCCTGAGAGGCAAGGAACCAACAGACTGTATATAAATAAGCGGGATCTGTAAAATGGATGTGCATGCAAAACTCTGGAAAAGTTCTGGAACAGAAGTAAAGTTCAGACATGGATGAAAAACCAGAGAACCAGAGCTGTCTATTGGACTTTACAGCTGGTGAATGCAAAAAAAAAAGAAGAAGGACACCGTTTGCCTCTGTCATAAAAGGTAATGCTTTACCTTCTACCAGGTAATCACTGTTAGTTTCTCTGGCTGTCCAAGATATTTGCAACACGTCTGAGAAACTACATAGCTGCCGGGGAAAAAAAGCTTTTCCTATTTTAACAGTAGCCTGGCAACTGGAACCTGCATATCCTATATTTAATGTTGAGTCTATTTAATAATTCAGTACTGAGCCACTCTTGTAGCTCTGCACCTGAGAGGTTAGTGTACGCACTAAAAAATTTTATGACCCTCAAATAATAGGGCTGGATTTCTGTGGTGGCAAGTTTTCTGTTCTTATAGTTTTTTGGTACAGTAGTATAAGAATCCTAACCTTCCCAGTCCGTGGTGACAGCACTGGCCATATGGCCCTAAATCCTCAGGCTCACCAGCCCCCCCCCCCCCAGTCTGCACCGCCCTAAAAAGTGGTACACACAGACAGTAGTGACAGCTGACAGTATAAGAATCACATAATGGAAAATACATAGATAGTATTAACAGCATAAGAATCACATAATTGAAAATACATACCCACAGTAGTGACAGCTGACAGTATAAGAATCACATAATGGAAAATACATAGATAGTATTAACAGCATAAGAATCACATAATTGAAAATACATAGACAGCAGTGACAGTATGAGAACCACATAATGGAAAATACATGCAGATAGCAGTGACAGCTGACAGTATAAGAAACACATGATGGAAAATGCATTCAGACAGCAGCGACAGGTGACAATATAACAATCACATGATGAAAAATACACAAGACAGTAGTGACAGTATAAGAATCACACAATGGAAAATACATACAGACAGTAGTGACAGTTGACAGTATAAAAATCACATAATGGAAAAGACTGGGGTCTCGTCATATAATACTTACACAGAAAACAGTGGCTCACCTTTATTATGGAGATGGCACACATTTCTTTAAATGTATTTTTCTTTACTAAGCAAGACCCCATGGGTATGTTGGTTTCTACTCACACCACTGTCTTAGTTAGTCTCTGGTTCTCACAGTTTTTATATTAAAAACCTGACCCAAGTGTTGCTTTAAATACTTATTAACTTGGGATCTAAACATTTAGATCAAGTAACAACTTCTTCAGATATAACAAGTTAGTGTAGTATCAATCCTTGACTAAAAGAGTTAATATTTGTTTTCTCTAGTAAATTTAAGAACAATAATCTAAGCAGTAAATACTTGCCCGAGATTGTGACAGCTTTGCTATAAGTAAGTCTCCAATCAAAACAACTTCTGGCTCCTTCTCCTTTGCATCTCGAAGAAAGGCTTCATGCTACAAAGAAAAATAACAACATTTATTAGAAGAACATTGTTGTCAAATGAATGAGAGAATGATTTATGAACTGAATAATTTTCCTCAATACATTTCCAAAATGTGTCCCTACCCCTATATCCAAGGAAGAGTATACATAATGATGAAGCAATATTATATATATATATATATATAAAACAGGTAACGCCTCATGACTCAAAGAACCGTTATTTTGATAAGAATCACATGTTGGCGTTCGTCCATCACAAGTGATAAAGACCACTTTTCATCAAAAGTAGTAATGATTATGAGAAAGAGGGTGGCTGATTAGTCCAATATGAGCTTGGAAAGTTCTTGAGCAGTGCAGACAACAGATGGAAGCCGCAGTAGGTGTAGGATTGGCAGTACAATTCTTTCTAGTCTGCCTCCGTTTCTCTGCCTGTGCAACCTTTGCTGCCTGGCAGGCCGATGCACCATGATGCCTGAGGAACGTACGCCATCCAGAACGGTCTTGTGCAGAAGCCTCCCACGTCGCTGAGTTGATGCAAAAAGAGTTGAAAGCAGTTTTGAGAGTGTCCTTTTAGCGCTTTTTCTGTACTCCTTGAGACCTCTTCCCTTGCTAGAGTTCACCATAAAATACTCTCCTTGGTTCGGGATATTCTGGCATGAGGGCTATTTGACCAGCCCAATGCAGCTGATAATTCATCAGTATCGTGTGGATGTTAGGCAGGTTTCCCCTATCAAGAACTATGGAATCTTATCTTGCTATTTGATTTTGAGCAGCTTTCTGAGGCAGGTTATATAAAGTGAAAATCATATAATAAATCAATCAACAAGATATGAAACCCCATAAATTTTGGACACCGGATAGTTATGAAGTAACCTGCAGCACAATCTTGTTAATTATTTATTGAGTGGACAACTAAAAGCTTTTTACTATATTACAGGTGACAACAGTATGTATAATTGGTTTGATTTGGTTTATTAAACGGATTAACATCATGGCACACAGCCAGGTGTAACCCATAAACCTGAGTCTGAAGCAGTTCAGCGCAGTGTACCAACTCCGTTGCACCGGTGAGGATCCTAAAATACTTTGGGTAGATTTTTTATCCCAAAGTAAGCCCGAGCAGCTACGTTAGGCTAATCTTTTCGATCTCCAACCACCAGGAAATTTTCTTTAATGTATGCATAATTCATCAGCTACTGATGAGTAAGACTAAGAGGTGAGTAATGTTTTTATTTATTTTTATTTTAAATAAACATAAAATTAATCCTCACCAAACTCATCCATCGGCCATCTCCCTGGATATCGTCCACAGGTTTGGCTTCAGCGGCAGGATTAGGCATTTTATAAGGTAAACTGAGTAGTTTAACTAAACAAAATTAGGAAACAGCGTCAGAATTCAGCCTATAGACTATTTTTAAAAACCGCTGTCTAAGTAAGGAAACTGTGGACAAATTGAACGCGAACCGGAAACTGTAGTTCATGTTTTTAGAAATAAACAAAACTTCTTTTCTGTGTAATTATTTATGTTAAAATTTGCGCTATGTAAAATCACACTTTAAATATAATAATTTTATAATATTTAAATTTTATAAATGAAATTCCTGATTTAGTAAAGAATTTAATTGCTAACATTTAATCCTATTCATTTCTGCGTGTAGTTGAATATTTAGGATATATATTTTATTCATTTTCTTATGTGTTTGTTTCGTACCTTCAGTGTTGTGACCGGTACCATCAGTATCAGAACTCTAGGCTGGCTGCTGAAGATCTATCTATCTATCTATCTATCTATCTATCTATCTATCTATCTATCTATCTATCTATCTATCTATCTATCTATCTATCTGTCTGTCTGTCTGTCTGTCTGTCTGTCTGTCTGTCTGTCTGTCTGTCTGTCTGTCTGTCTGTCTGTCTGTCTGTCTGTCTGTCTGTCTGTCTGTCTGTCTGTCTGTCTCTCTATCTGTCTCTCTATCTATCTATCTATCTATCTATCTATCTATCTATCTATCTATCTATCTATCTATCTATCTATCTATCTATCTATCTATCTATCTATCTATCTATCTATCTATCTATCTATCTATCTATCTATCTATCTATCTATCTATCTATCTATCTATCTATCTATCTATCTATCTATCTATCTATCTATCTATCTATCTATCTATCTATCTATCTATCTATCTATCTATCTATCTATCTATCTATCTATCTATCTATCTATCTATCTATCTATCTGCCTGCCTGCCTGCCTGCCTGCCTGCCTGCCTGCCTGCCTGCCTGTCTGTCTGTCTGTCTGTCTGCCTGCCTAGTATGTCTGTCTGTATGTCTGTCTAAAGAGGAGGTGGGGGGGGGGAGGGATACTATAATATCACTTATAAGCACAGGGGGACAGGCACGGTTCACCTTTCATGCAGATACACTTATACTTCGATGGAAACACCGATAATTAGTCTTTGGGGTTGGGGAGAGGTGGGGGGGGGGGGCAGCGGTCCTATTACTACCCTCCGGAAAACAAAGTTGGGGAAGGTACAGCAGGTCTATCTATTAACAAGAGATGATCATCATGTGCTGTGTTCAGTAAACGTAGGCTGTCATGTTTCGCCACCTCACACCATAGCCAGTGTTTTCGTCTTACCCCGTCTGTGTAGATGACCAAGCCATCCAGGTATTCCCCTCTTTGCTCCCCGTGTAGGTTTCGAGACCCCACTGTTGGGGAAAACCAGAATAGATCCACTGTCCCCGCAACAAGCGTGTCGTAAGAGTTGACTAATTGGGGTCTTCCTGGAAATCCGAGGCTATCTTCCCGAACGGCAAGGAACAACCAGCACAAAAGCCAGTAAAACGGATGTAAACACAAAACGGTGATTTATTAATATCCTACCCCGAACAGGGGGAATTTACAGGTCAGGTATCCATTTATGTAAAAAAAATAGACCACGTTCAATCTACTGCAAGCAGTGTCGGTTATAATTGTGGTCTGGTTTCGATGTGCCAGTTATGTTGGAAAAGAAAAGGTAATTATAATTGCACTAAAACTAGTGGCCTGGGCTAGTACTCTAGTACATAGTGAGGAATGTTGGGAAGGGAGCTGGTATTCACTATACACACAGCACACATGTATAGAAATAAGGGGGTTAGTCAGTAAGTAAGTCACAAATGGTTGTTTCAACAAACAAACAAACAAAAAAAAAATAAAAAAAAAAAGACGATAACACATTGAAAACCGTTTAAAAAAAACATACACTGTCCCTTTATTGTTCAATATAATTTCCACCAACACTGATGCACTTGTCTTGTGGTTTTATCAGCCCTTTCAAACCTGCTGCACACAACTGCATGGTCTTTCTAAACCACATTTTCACTTCACATTCGCGTCATTCGCGAAGTGTCTCCCGCCAAGGTGGGTTTTTAATGTATACTGAACCATGTGAGCACCCTATTGCAGCTGCTACAGAGTCAACCGTTACTCGCCTGTAACCTCTAATCATCTCCTCTACCCGCTGCACGGATGCGTCTGTTGCCTCTAATCATCTCCTCTACCCGCTGCACGGATGCGTCATTTGCAATCTCAACAGGAAGGCTAGATCGGACTTCATCAACAATCATAGAACGTCCTTGAGAAATATTCTTTACCGAGCTATGCACAGCTTTACGGCTTAAACATTTGTCAGCATAAACAAGAAGCATTTCCTTATGAATGTCCTTTTCAGGCAGCACTTTCGCCACCCCCCCCCCCCCCCCCCCCAAAAAAAAAAAGCAAAAAAAAAAAAAAAAAAAAAAATAACAACACTCACAACAGTACTTGTACTTTAAGGGTATACTCCATAAGTACAGTCGCCATTGTGTTTCTGTGCTGAGCAACACCTTGCGTCACCTAACAAACGGAGACAGTTCGATGTTGCTGTCAACCTAATGACACCTTTAAAACCTGCCAATTACGTTTTCCTGCCATCCCATAACCATTTGTGACTTATTTATTGACCTACCCTCGTACATGTGCAATTACATATGTATACATACCATTTAAAAGTTTAGTTATTATTTCAATTCCAAAATCTCCCAGTGCTTCGATTTCTTCCAGTGAGATGTTGTCTGGCCCGGGTGCTTTTCCTTTCTTCATATGATGTATTGCATCCTCAACTTCTGCAGTCATTATTGGTGGACCATCATTGTTGGTCTGCAGTTCTACATCTGGTCTATTATCATCATACAATTCCCCTATATACTCTGTCCATCTGTTAATTATATTACTATGTCCCATTAATAAGTTACCATCTTTTGATTTCAAACATCCAGTGCTGTTACGTGACATCTGTCCTGTTAACAAATTTATCTGTTGGTACATGGAATGTGAGTCTTTCCTGTTGTTTTCCCCAATCTCTGTACACATTTGATTCAGCCAGGCTTCTTTAGCCGCTTTGCATCTGTTCACTATTTCTTTTTGTATTCTAAAGTATTCTTCTTTATCATTCTTTTTCTTCCTTCTTTCATCCATCAACTGCACAATTTCGGTTGACATCCATTTCTTTTTTGCAATTCTATGGGTTAGTGGGATTGTCTATTTTGATGTCTGCTGAATTGACTCACGCAACATATCCCACTGTTCATCAATAGTCTGTATAATTTTCATTGCATTATACAGGTTTTGTAAAGTGACATTGTACTGGTCCTTAATTTCCTTATCCGTTCTAAGAATTCCTAAATTTAACTTAGATGTTCTGTGGTGTTTTTCTAATGTTCTTTAGTTTTATTCTAATTTTTCCTACAACTGGAACATGGTCACTAAAGCAGTCTGTTCCTGGTCTATTTTTTGCTCCAACTAAGCTGCCCCGGAATCTTCTTGAAATCAAAATAAAATCAATCTGATTGCGGACATTATCACCAGGACTTTTCCAGGTCCACAACCTTCGAGGATGGTGTTTACACCAGGTGTTACCTATTATCATGCTGCCTATTATCATTGTAAAATGAAAAACATCTTGTGCAATATATCCTTGACATTGAGAGTTAGAAAAAGAATTCTTACTTGCTACATACATCCAGTTTTAACATATGACTGTGAATCCTGGACAACGGTAGGCAGGCCAAACAATTTCTAAAGGCCTCAGAGATGTGGTTTTACAGAAGAATGCTTAGAATACCTTGGACAGCCAAAAAGAGCAACCAAGAGGTTTTGAAAGAGGCGGGAGCCCGAAGACAACTTATCACAGACATCAGAAGGAGAGTCATCATTTTGTGGCCATGTTATGAGAAGAGGGAAAAAAGAACATGTTGTGACCACTGGACAGATTTGTGGAGGGAGAGATAGAGGAAGACAACGAGAGAAGATGCTTGACAGTCTTGTTGCATGACATGAAGGTGTGTCGGCACACGAACTGATACATGCTGCAGGAGATCGCAGATTATGGAGAGGCATGATCGCCCACGCCAGTCGGCAAAGCACCTGATGATGATGATGATACATGACATACACGTCTGCATGCTCTAGTGGGAATACATGGATTCGTGTTAGCATACACCTTTGCCAAGAGACAGGACATATTGGGGGGGGGGGGGGGGGGGTGACCCAGAAACCATGAGTTGTAAACTCTTTGGCTCAGTGCTATAGATATCGCAACCTTTTGGCCTTAATTGCGTGATAGATACCGTAAATCTGGGATACATATGACTTATGCCTACACCCCCCCCCCCTCTCCACCCCCCCCCCGGAGCATGAACTCGGACAACAAAGGAGTTTGTCACCCGGTCGCCGCGCAGCTGGTTTAACCAACTTAGCTAACGCGTCGGGCCCAACGATTCGTATAAGAGGCCCGAACACATTCATAAATTACCTTTGCGCAAAACACTTTCAAACTATTGTATAGCGAGCGACACGCAGTTTAGAAAGTACAGTTCTATTGCACTCTTTGTTGATTTTGCGTTTCCATGTTTTACATCATCAAGCGCGTATTCTTCACGATTGCCCGCACGTTTTTTTTCCACATTTCTCTTTCTTAAAAATAGTTCTTTTCAATTTGGAATTCACATGATTTGATATCAAAAACTTCATTTGACAGACATGGCCGCATTTGCGAATTTCTGTTATTGAAACATTTCAATGCTAAGAGGTTTGTTTTGTTTAGGGTGTACAAAGAACAGATTAAATGTGTCCAGATTTCTCTTTGCTTTTTTGTTTGGCTCGTGCGATTGTAGGACGGAAGCACAACTTGACCAACATGCTGCAGACGTGAAAATCAAACAGGTGGTGAAGAATGAAGATGATCTCTTATTATCATAGCCACTCTTCGTTGGCTACTGAAGAGGGGGACATAGCAGGTGTGTGAATGTCCAAAATGCA